TTATGTAATTGTAACCTATAGTAAATAAAGTCTTAAAATACATAAATGAAATACAATAACTCTAAATTGTAACCCACCCAAAATTTATAACAATCAAATTTCATTCTTCTTCAATGTGGCATGAATTAAAACATCTTTTGATAATTTTGACAACCTTTTCTTCACATCTTCATTGAAGTATATTGTATGATTGATGTCTTTTGGTTCATATCACCAGGTAGCTCCCATCGCTTCGACAGTCCAGAGTGCTCTCAACAGTCAAATTGGAAAGGTCAAAGTAATGGCCTGCATAGGCGTCGACAATTAACTACTTCTTTTGCGAACCGGGTTGTTCTTTTCTCTTTGACAAGTTCCTTAAAGATGATGGGCTTGCCCACCCGCCTCCAGAACCTAAGCTTCTAGGCTATATGACCCAACAAATCTCGAAAATGACATTTGGGTATAGCACTAACATATGCGAGCTATTAGGCATTCTTTTTCAATACCTCGTTGAGGAGGAAAAAACGTCGATGGGAATTCGAGACAACCCCCAACATCCACCGCTGCTCCATCGAACCTCTTTCTTCACATAGTCCGGAAGTGGGTTCGTGAACCATGTGCAGAGAGGGGAGAGGGCAAGGCTCCCATGAAGAGCCAAACGTCTTCAAGCATGCCAAAACAATAACAAGCTAGCCTTAATAAGACTGATCATCCTGTGCCAGCCAACCTGTTATGGAACAAGCAGTCTACGGCACCTAAACAACCGCTAGTGACGATTCCTTCTCCTATGGTTATGCCCATTTTGGTAGCACAAAATCCTCAACCATATTAACTCCGAACATTTCAGAAAAAAAACCCTCTACAACTATAAGTCAAGCTGCTTCGCTCCTTCCCATCTACAACTATAAGTCAAGCTGCTTCGTTCCTCGAGAACTGCTCACCCCTTCACAGGAAAGGACTTATGCTACCCCACCTCAAGCAGCGGTGGGGGCGCCCATCAACATGGCGGGGAAGCCTAGCTGATAAGAAAAGGAACCACTACAAGGGGAGTAAGATTCGGATTACCTTGTTGATCGAATATCTCAAGGCAAGAACATTGTTTGAGATTCGAATCACTCCACAAGCAAGATCGATCATGTCTAGCTTGAATGATTCTTGTTGATCAAATATCTCAAGGCAAGAACACTTCCATGAGATTCGAATCACTCCACAAGCAAGATTGATCATGTCGAGCTTGAATGATTCTACATGCAACCTAAACTACATAGAATTGCAAAGAAACTTAGCCATTGGCTAAAGAAGAGCACAAATGCTTCTTTTTACTATATTTTTCCAAGTCCCTTACACATACAACATACATGGCTTTATATAGCCTCAAAATGAAACTACTAAAGTCATTACAAGAGTTGTAACATTGATACTTAATGGCCATAATTAACCATTATGTAATTGTAACCTATAGTAAATAAAGTCTTAAAATACATAAATGAAATACAATAACTCTAAATTGTAACCCACCCAAAATTTATAACAATCAAACTTCATTATTCTTCAATGTGGCATGAATTGAAACATCTTTTGATAATTTTGACAACCTTTTCTTCACATCTTCATTGAAGTATATTGTATGATTGATGTCT